GCGAAATCCATTCAACTGAGTTGGCCGGCCAGGGCTGAAGGCACCTCCCCCACTATAAGGGTTTTGGGACTTAATCAGGGTTCAGGGTTTAGGGTTTAGGGTTTAGGGTTCAGGGTTCAGGGTTCAGTGTTTAGGGTTTAGCGTTTAGGGTTTAGGGTTCAGGGTTCAGGGTTCAGGGTTTAGGGTTCAGGGTTCAGTTTTTTTTGGTTTCGGGTTTAGGAGGCCGACCCCGTTCACAAGCGGCGCCAATCTGAGATAGAGAGGTTCTACGAATCCTTTCCCTAAACCCCGAGCCCCAACCCTGAGCCCTAAACTCTAAACCAAGATCCAAAGCCATCTGCAACACAAGACATCTTCAGAGAGATGGGCCAGCATTTACCTCCAGCTTCCAGGAGCTACGGTTGGGCGTTTTGGTTGGAGGTTTCTTTTGTTAGGCTTTAGGATTTCGGGTTGTGGGTGGATAGCATGCGCTCGTTGTTCTGTTCGCTTCCTTCTGCAGAATCTGACAGGGACGCGCGAATCGGATCTGAGCTTCGAAACTGGTCATGGCCAGATCCGAGCTTTCCTTAAAATCCCTTGGCAATCGGGAACCCGTTACAGTGGCCATTTCTGTCCTGGTCAAGGCCTGGCCCTGGATTCTGCTATCCAGGCCCTATGCATGGATGCAGACACGGAGGAGCTAGTGAAAAAGCTCGTGGCAGCAAATCCAAATGACAAAAAGCGCCCTCGGAATGACCCATGATGTCTGGAAATCGACAGGGCAGCGGCAGAGGTGTGTCCACGGACTAGGGTGCACCGGGTCAGGTTGACTGCTGGAAGATGATGGAAGAAATGAGGTGGAATGTTGCCCACCATCTCAGAGCCTTGAGAGTTGTTGGGTGGTGCAGTGCTGGCCTGTAAGACTCCCTACCGAGGTGTGTCTTAGGTATGGTTAGGACCAATCGTGCCGTGATCAGAGATGATGGAAATCCCCCCACCTCTGCCTCAGCATAGCATCATAAGCATGACGATAAGATTCCTCGTGTCGTTGCGTGTGCATACTTCTTCAACCGTCACTTTGGGGGTTGCGGTGGGACTTCGCCCTCCCATGATGCCTGCGTCCGGGCGCACATCACGCGTACAGACAGAGGAGGAGTCAGTTCATGCCGCGTGATGGGTCCTGGAGCGTGGGTCTTGGTGTCGTCTTCTTCCTTGCATCCCCCCTTTTCTTGAGATCACCGGCCCACGGGCGAAAAGATTCTGTGCCTAATGCCAAAGGGGGCCCCCTCATGTCCACCGAAGCTTGAAACTCAAATTGTTCGATCGGCATTGCGGCTGCTGGGGTTCAGGTTCGAGTCTAGGTGCTTGTAGTCCAAAGCCATGACCATGTTCAGTTCGACCAGATCCGACGGTGTGACAAACTGAGGTACCCTTCAAAGTGCCTATTGTAGTAAAGCGTTGCTAGAACAAAGGTCTACTGACTGGCTTTGGGCCAGGGTTTATCCGTATTCATGAACCTGAAACCCCGCCGGAATATACACCTCAAGTTGCACGCCCCATGCACGAAGAAAACAGCTCGGTAGTTAGTCGATGAGGGCGTTCGCAAAGGCTCATCATACTCAGATTTGCCGGCTGGCTTAGTTGGACTCCGAAGAATGGGCCCACGCATCTAAACCTTTGTCTGAGCAGGGATTGCGATGCACTTAGCCCTGAATCCCTTTAGCCAAGCTGTCTAAATCCGAACCCTGAATTTCAAACCTACTTAAGCCTGCAACAAGCGCAACATGTGTCCTAAACCCCTTCCTAGAGCCAAGACAAAGTCACCTCACGGCTGAACTCTGAACCCCCAAAAGAAGAACTGTCCAGGCCGGCCTCAAGGGCTGATCGAAACGGAGTCGAAACGTCTGCGGTTCGTGGCTGCCTTACTAGTAGTACTGGTAGTAGTAGTCGTCGTCGTAATAGTAATAATAATAGTAAGTAGTAAGCAGTAAGTAGTAAGTAGTAAGTAGTAAGTAGAAGTAGTAGTAATAGTAGTAGTAGTAGTAGTAGTAGTAGTAGTAGTAGTAGTAGTAGTTCGACGCTCAGGGTCTTTAGAAGGTTCGAGAGCCATACCGCGACTGGAGACTGCTCTCTCCGGCGCTGGGGCACTTCAAGGCTTCAGGTTGCTGCACAAGAAATGGGGGTTTCTAAAATATAGGGGACCCTAATATAGTACCCTAAATAGTAGGATCCCTATGATAAGGACCCCAAAATAAGGTACCCCTTGTTTTCGGAAACTCCCAAATCGGAGTCGCTCTTCCGACCTCGATCTCTCGTTCGGAGTTTTTTTTCATCCGTTGGAAAGCCATGTAATGAATTGCTCCACAATGTCCGGGGTAACAACCTCAAGAAGGACAAGCCGCCACTCCACACCGAAACCCTCATTCTGAGAAGCCCTGGCCATCAGAAGCAATCGCCAGGAGGTGAAGGAAGCTCGACGCTGCCTGCAACCCCCTATCTCAGCATACAGCCACACTGAAAG